GGGTTTCATGGTTTGGACCAGCCCAAGGCTTGACCCGCTTCGTTTATATTTAGCCCCTTCACCATGTTAAGGCTATTCTCATTTGTTCAAATAATTCATCCTAGCTTCTCTTAATACTCGAATTTTCTTTGTGATGGCAATAAAAGAACTAAATTTTGGTAATTCGTTTTATGTTATAAGTCCAAGAATTATTATAGAATCAAGAAAGCGATAGAAGTAGAAAAAATGATTGAAAAAATTATTTGATATTTTTCTCATTTTTCACGAGATCTTTACTTGCGATAAATATAACAGGGCACTATTCCGACATATTTTGATAATCATCGCAAGTAATGGTGATTATTGATGTGAGTCAATAAGAATGAGAGGACATAAAAAGAGAAGTTCTCTGGTACTTTTGTTTATGGGAGTGAATTTTGTATTAGGATAGAATAGTGGCATGAAAGCTAGCTTCAAGTAATCCGACAAACATAGGTAATCTGGAAGTCCAAGAAGGGTGAGTTTAGTTGTTCTGGGTGTGGCCCTTGGATGCTAAAGTCAAAGGAGGAGAGGTTTGAGAGAGCAAATTAGGGTTTAGAAGTGCTTAGTTGGTAAAGAATATGAGATCCATCATTTGACGAAAGTGTCTCTTTCTATTTATAGTTGTGGGCCATATTCAGTATAACTAGACCTGGCCCATTTCTAGGTTGATCATGGCTCAGCTTATACCAGCTCAATCCAATCCACTTCATTTTGGAACAATCCTCCGAGGAGCCACAAGATCATGTGGACTCTATTCTTAAAAGAGATGGGTCCACATGATCGTATTGCTTTTGAAATTGTTGAGGCATTATCACAGAAGCATCGCATATTTTTTGCAAAATTAAACAAGAAAGGGTAGAGATTTGGATTCTTCCTAATCCGCATTTGAATAGCCGAGTTGATGGGAAGTTGCTCTTACCATAATTGGATTAGATTAGCAATTTTTGCCTTAGATGCAAATAGAACTCCTAAATCATAGGAGGCTCACACAAACACCTCCATTTGTATTACCGTCATCTTCTACTCACCACCTTCTCATCAAGGAAAACAATCTCTCTCTCTCTCTCTCATGCTCGCACGCGCATTTTCCATTTTTACTTTTTTACAGGGAATCAGTATAATTAATCCTTACAGCCTCTAGGCTTCAAAAAGTCATTTAGCGATAGTAGAAGAGACAAATTGTTATTTGCCAATGTAGAGTTAAACTCATTTGGTGTGACATTATTATCTTCAGAGAATTCTCTTAGTGGAGCTCTAGCAAGTAAATTTATCACAAAGCACCGAAGGGTATTTTTGTGTTTTTCCTGCTAATAACAATGAATTTGTTAACTTTTGGAGGGCCATGCAAGCCCCCAACTCCACCTCCTCCTCTTTTTCTTCATCATCCGACGAGATCATCAACAATAACAATCGCAGCCGCTGGAAGAGCCTCTCTCATAAAGACAGTGGCTTGCAATGAAGGTATGAAACTTTTCTTGCAAATTCATGTTAACCAAAAAGATGATCCAACTCCTTTCTTTCTTGCTTTGTTTTTGATTTTTTTGGTTTTGTTCCCTTACAAAATGATGGTAATATTTTTTTAATTTTGGCAAATCACACTGTATAACTCTACACTTCACATTAAATCTCACTCTATCTTTTAATTTTTTAATTTTTTTCAGTGAACTTCCAAGTTTTTAATAAGTTGCAATGTGACAGAACTATATAACTTGCAAAAAATAGTCATGTAATAATTGCACATGAACGTCACTTGATTGTCACAATTAAAATGATGAACAAAGTGTGTCGGATCAGCACCAAAGTTAATATAAAAGGTCTATAATCAAACATATTTGTATTTAAATTTTTATGCAAAAATTATGTTACTTTTTTTTTTTTTTTTTTGCGCTCTCTTTCATTTTAAATTAAAACATTATGACTTCTAGTTTCAGAAATAGCACTACCCTACATTATTTTGGATTTACTTACTGTTAGATTTCTTTCCTCCATATAATTAGAGTCCAGATTGTCTCCGGTTCATAAAAAATTAGACAGTGTTATTTTGGCCTGTGTAGTTCATCACAGGTCATATCTCAACAATCTGAATTGTTTATTTTTTAGACCACAATGTATAAATCATCTATGAAAAAAAATCAAATCAATCTGACAATAATATATTTATTTGCAAAAAAAGAAGGATAAATGTTAATTAGACTATCCTCGTAAACAAATATAATGCATTAATGTAACTATAATTATCATATTGATTTAATTTTTTTCATGAATAATTTACACATGATGAATCCACGAACAACAAATTAAAGTAAGAAGTGATAATTACAAGGAAGTCATTAAATCACTCGGACACATAGTGAGAATTTGCACTATGCATATGGAGGATTTGCATTATACACGTAATAATTGCATTACAATGAAAATGTAAATAATCTTTCATTGTTCTACTAATTTGATATTTTCCCTAAGACCTAAGTTGATGTTAACACTTTTCTGTCATAAAATTTTATGTTTAATTTATCTTTCAATAGTTAAGAATTGAAGTATAGATTTTCTATAAATACCAATTCAATCTATAATGGCCATTTGAACCCACAATGAAAATTTTAAGCACATTTATGGCCTTTTTTTTTTTTTTTTTTTTTGACGACTGTCAGCTTATTAATTTTTAGGTAAACTGTTAATAATTAGATTTAATTTTCATCAAATTCTATTAAAAATAAGTCATAGTAAAATCGTTATTAAAAATAATTTTTTGTGACGATTTTTTGCATATCTCTAAAAATTGACAATTAGTGACTTTTTTTTGTCATGATTTTACAAATTGTCACTAAAACTTACAATTAGTGATGTTTTTCTGTGACAAATTATTCAAATTGTTACTAAAAGATAAAAAGTAGGGACTTTTTTTGTGATGATTTTTATAAATTGTTGCTGCAACTTATAATTAGTCACATTTTTTGTGATAATTTTTAAACTATCGCTGAAACTTAACAATTAGTGACTTTTTTAATAATACTTGATGAAAATGTCATTAATTTTTATAGGATCTATTGGACAATAAATTTACATATTATGACCTATACATAAGTCTCCTTAATTTTTTTAACTTTTTTGGATAATAACACATCTCTACTTTTTTTCATATTTTTTCAAAAAAAGTCAAAAAAATTAAAAAATTAACTTTTAACTTACTTCTCAAAATAGGCTAGGTGAAAGTGCAGTCTCTAATTGTGAATAACGGATATTCATCGTGTGAATCTATAATTGTAATAGAAAATTTTTATTACATATGTAATAGTTACAAAATATATATATAAATTTACTATTATTTTCAATTAAGAAAAATCATTATACTCATTGAGATTTGTACCATTGTTGGATGCTGTCATACCATGGATAATTCTACACACATAATAAGTTAAATAAAATTAATTGTCAAAAACATATTAATAAGTAGATATTCAATAAGGTTTGAACTCATACTTTTAATAAAGATTTTAGTGTATAGAGTATTACTCGTCATATCATACAGTGACATAATTTTTTTTTCATTAACAAATATGATAGATTGTCACAAAAATTGGATTTCGTTTTTAGTTTTCAATTTATATTTATGAAAATTTTAAAAAAATTCATAAAAACTTGTTTGATATTTTTTTTTTTTGGTTTATAAATTGTTGTCTCAATTTATAAATTTGATGAAAAAACGTAAATTTAAAAAATGAGTTTATGTTAATTTTTAAACAAAAATTTAAAATTTTGACTAACAAATTTTTTTTTCCATAATTTTTTTTCCAAATAAATTTTTCTTTCAATTAATTTTTTTTCTAATTAAATTTTTTTCAGTTATAATGTGTATGATCCTATTGTCATAAATATAAATATTTTAAGTTTGAACACACATATTTTTAATTTATGTTTTTAAATATTTTGTTCAAACCGAACGTGTTTGTAGTTTATGTTTTTTTAAAAATAAATAAAAATCAGTTTATAAAATATTTGTAAACATGCCACCACTTGTCATTTCTCACTCTTTTTTATATTTTTAAAATTTTTTAAACATTTTGTCAATTACCGAACGTATTTGTAGTTTATGTTTTTTTAAAAATAAACAAAAATCAATTTATAAAATGTTTGTAAACATAAACTAAAAACGTAAACAATCAGTTTATAAAATATTTGTAAACATAAACAAAAAACGTAAACATAATCAAACGTTATCTAAATAAATAAACAAACCGTGACAATTGTTTTCCATCTAACTATAAAATTCATATTTAAAAAAAATTTAAAAAAATTGTCTTTAGTGATTTTGTTTTAAATTTGTGTCAATTTTTATTTTATTTTATTTTATTAATCAGTCTAGTATAGAAGAATATAAAAATCGAAAAAATAAATAAATAATTCATAAAAAATAAAAATATTATTTATTATTTATTTTTATCTTTATCTTTATTCAAAAATATATATATATTTTTAAATTCATTTAGTTGAATAAATTTTAAATTTTTTAAGAGTAAATTACAAATATACTCCCTGAATTTGATTAAAATACAAATCGTCCCTGTGATTCTGAAAGTTACATTCCACCCTTTGAGGTTTTTAATTTCATAACAAATCGCTCATTTTATTAATAAATCATCAAAATAATTAATAATTTTTAATGATGTTATAAATATTTTTCAATTAATAATTTAAGTAATTTTATTATTGTATCGGAGAGTAATTATGAATTTTTTTTAATTAGTTTTATTAAATAAAAAAATTTAATAAAGGAATATTTATAATTTTTTAAGCTATAAAACATAATTTATATTTTAAAAAAATCTCAAAAAATATATTTATAATTTATTATTTTTTAAATCTAAATAATATTTGAATACATTATTTTTATATAAGATTTTTAAATAAAAATTGTAGTGCATATCATCTAAAATTATTTTGCATAGATCCACCAGCACCGCCAACCTCTGACGCTTTAGAACCCACCTGTCACCTGACTCACCTTCCGTCCCCGCTACCAAAAAACCATTGACAAATTTTTTTCTTTAATGTAACCACCACTCACCACTCCAACCTTCAACTTTCCTCTGCTTCACCACTCTCTCTCTCTCTATATATATATATATATCTTGTTTCTCTCTCTTTTAGTACCAAGAAGAGGAAGAAGAAGAAAGAGAAATATTAAGAATGGAAGCTGGAACTGGTGTGTTTTCAGAGATCATAGATGGAGATGTTTACAAGTACTACTCAGAAGGAGAATGGAAAGTCTCAAACTCTGGCAAGACTGTTTCCATCATCAACCCAACCACAAGAAAAACCCAGTACAAGGTCCAAGGTATAATAAACAAGAAACAATCTTGATCCTTTACTTCCTCAATATAATTAAAATTTTCCAACTCTGTTTTTTGGGTTTTATATTTTGAAAATTTGTTACTAGTTTTTTTTTTTTTTTTTTTTTTTTTTTTTTTTTTTTTTTTGTGTGGGTGTTTTGTCTTGAATTGGAATTGGATTGGACTGAGAGTGAGTAGCTTGTACGCAAGAAGAAGTGAACTCGGTGATGGAATGTTCGAAGAAGGCGCAGAAATCGTGGGCGAAGACGCCACTGTGGAAGAGGGCGGAATTGCTTCACAAGGCGGCTGCCATTCTCAAAGAGCACAAGAATCCCATTTCTGAGTGCCTTGTTAAAGAAATTGCCAAGCCTGCTAAAGATGCTATCACTGAAGTAAGTTTCATTTCTTCATTTGTTTGTAGCAAGCAATAACTAGTCTTCTTTTGCTGCTTTGCTTTGTAATTACATTTTGGATTGGAGTATAAATTGAATCTGCATTTACATGATACAGATATAGAAAATATTGAAAAAAAACTCTCTATCATTTGTGGTAGTTTGGTTCAGAGGTTGATGGGAGTTTAAAACAGTGGGATTGGGAAGTGGGTTAGAGTGAATTGTACTCCCGGAGCACAGTCTGCTCCATAGTATTATGATTGGTGGAGAAAGTGGATCATTATAATTTTATATTGAGTGATTAAGAAATATAAAGGTATGATGAATGATGATTTGTGAAGTAATATGGACACATGATCCGAGTACCTAATAATGTTTTGGTTATGTAATTGATTATCTAAAATTCTAAGTATTCAGAAGAAAATAAAAAAAAATTAAAAATCAAAAAAACTATGAGAGGGTTCAGTTGCCCAAGTGTGGCCCACCATATATCCATCTTAGGATCGCTCATGGTTAACTGAGATGATCGCTCATGCAAAAGAAAATCAGAATGATTAGAGATTGATAGACACATGACCAAACCACAAAAGAATGCAAAAAAAAAATGGACCAATAAGTATGATTTGAAGAATTACTGTCTTTTTTTTTCTTTTCTTTTTATAATTTTGTGATCCGATCATCTTGTTATCGATTTTGATATTTTATTTTATTTCATGGATAATCTTTTTGACAAGTCCTAAAATCATGGTTCAGATTATTGAGATGGGCCCAAAGTGAGATGTTCCTGTTTAATAATAGTATAGATAATATGGATGCTAATATATGTGTGTTAAATTGGGTTTTGGGGTTTTGAATGAAGGTTGTGAGGTCAGGGGACTTGGTGTCATATTGTGCTGAAGAAGGTGTTAGAATTCTTGGGGAAGGGAAGTTTCTGCTCTCTGATAGTTTCCCTGGAAATGAGAGGACCAAATATTGCCTTACTTCCAAGGTACTTTTATTTTCTTCACCTTTTCCTTTTGTTTTTGTTTCCTTTATGCATTTGTTTTGACTAGGCTCCTTTATTTATTTTGTTATGACATTGTTTTGCATTTCGGTTAATGATGTATTTGAATCTTGGATTTGGAAACAGAAAAGAAAAGAAAAGGAAAATGGAGTAAAAATACTTAATTTCTCCAACTTTTTTGGTTGGGTTAAGATAGCGGGATGAAAATGAATGGACGGTAGTCAAAAACAAAAAAAAACAACATTTTTTTTTCAGGGTTTAATTACCCATAAAAAGATAACTATGTATAAGTAATTTCATTTCCCTTGCATTGTCCTTTCCTTGGTAAATCCAAGATCAAACATAGTCTTGAAAGGAAAATAAAGAACTGTCTCTACTTGAGACCTTGTTGATTGTGTGCATCCATTCTGATGGTGTTACTTCAGTAGATCTTTTTTATTTTCTTCATATTAATCTAACAATTAAAATGTCCTTTTCAGTTTATATTAAGGGAGTATATTTTTTTGGAATATCCTCCTCCCAATGCATTTTCTATTTGGAGAGTATCTAAATAATCACCCCACAAACTCTTGCATACATAAGGGACCATTGACCATGCTTTATATATATAAATATATATATATATATATCAGCCTGCCATTTAACTGCATAGATTGACACGTGTGTGCATTTGTAAGAACGCAGCCTTCATTATTTTCTAGTCTCCCCTCGTTAGAAGTGAGAAAAAAAAATCTCATTTGATGGGTTGACTATTGTAAATCTGGTTAATTGCTTAAAGAGAGGTTGATTGTCATATAGCAATGTGCAGCAAAGACAAAAGACTACACCATTAATTTAAGTTAATGGCATTAAAAGATCATGATGAAGTGGCTTATACAAATGTTCTAATATGGATATTTACCAAATAATATAGGTCTGGAAGTGCTTCTCCTGGATTCTCACATATGGGCAATCCAAATCAAGCACAAAATGCATGATGCAAACTAAAAGTGACGATTCCAATAGTTCGTTTACATCCATTGGAACAATTTAATAGCAATTGTTTTTTACTCAAAAAGTCAATGAAACCATTTGACTCTGTCTGTCTGCTTAATTTGCTTAATTATTATTTGAGTCCTATAATAATCTCTAAATGGATGTTCTTATTATTAAAAAATTCATTTCCTAATTGTTTCAATTCAGATTCCACTTGGTGTTGTTTTAGCCATCCCACCCTTCAACTATCCTGTCAATCTTGCTGTCTCAAAAATTGCTCCTGCACTAATTGCTGGGAACTCCCTCATCCTCAAGCCTCCCACCCAGGTATCAAATATGACAACCTTTGAAAATGCTCTTTTTATCACTCTGCCTTCACTCTGTATAAAAATGGTTGTATGTGATTGCATGTTTCATATTTTTGTATAAACTTACTACCGACATGAACCTATTCCTCCTTTTAGGGTGCGGTTGCAGCGCTTCATATGGTGCATTGTTTTCACCTGGCTGGTTTTCCAAAAGGGCTTATTAGCTGCGTTACGGGAAAAGGTTCTGAGATTGGAGACTTCCTTACAATGCATCCTGCAGTTAACTGTATAAGGTGAGATTCTATGAACTGGCGATACTTCGTTTCTTTCTTGTGGTTGTCTCTATCCATCCTGGCATATAAAACCTAGACACGTGACATGATACCGACACTCTAACAAGAAAATTTTCAAATATGTTTAATACATGAATATATTCGTTAAAAAATAACAGAAAATACAATATAAGATCGATTCCTAAAGTTTAAAGGTGGGAGGATTAATAAGTATAAATACGCACTAGAAGGGTAAGCACACTAACGTGTGCAATGAAAAAATCATGAGTGTGTTATGAAAAATGCAATTGCAACTTCCGCGATGAACAGAATCATGGTTGTTTTTGGATTCGTTGTTCTTAGAGCACACAATTTATGCTTTCTCTGTGCATTTATTTAGTTGTTTATTTTTCCTCTGATGTTTCGGTAACCAATTTTTTGGTATCAAATGTGTGGGATTGGAAAAGGCAGTAGAGAGATTTTTTCTAATAACTGAACCTACGGCATAACTGCCTGGGCATTTCCAAATTAGAAAAAGAACGTGACATGTCTAACCAACTCAGGTGTAGAGTTTATATAATAGAATTAATTTTCTTTTATCATTTTATTCTAAGTTAATTTGTTCAAACCTATAATGTGTTTCAAGTGTGTCTAAACAATGGACAAGTGTTTTCTATAAGTTTCCGAAGTATGTCCAGGTCTAAAAATGTTCTTTAAAAAGTAATAAGACAGATTTAGACGTGTGTCTTACATGTGTTGTGAAGTGTCCGATAAGTGTCAATGCCACCTTAAAAGTGTCCAAATTCTGACTCCCAAGTTAGTTTAGTTCCCAATGACGGGATGCCATTTCAACAGAAAAAGAAAAATTTTACGGTGCTACTAATATTTATTTTTTGGCAGGACGACTGGTGGTGCTCCTTCATAACTAATTCTTTGAGTGGAAAACAATCGGGAAGACAAAAATAAATAAATAAAAAAAATAAAATCTTTGGTGGCAACATTGACTAACATATACTTTCAACTAACGAACATAACTACGTTTACTCTTCAGCTTCACAGGTGGAGACACTGGAATTACAATCTCAAAGAAGGCCAGCATGATCCCTCTTCAAATGGAACTAGGTGGGAAAGATGCCTGCATCATTCTTGAGGATGCTGATTTGGATTTAGCAGCTTCTAACATTGTCAAAGGAGGCTTCTCGTACAGGTGGTGGAATGAATGTCAATCAATTTTTAACTTCTGTTTGTTTAGATTTTGTCCAAAATCTTGAACTTGTCACAAATTATTACTGATTTTATCTGAAACTTAACCAAAATTGCTCTTTATAAAAGTTTTATAATATCTAAATTACCCCTCCATTACAAAGCAAACCAAATAAAATTACACACATGTCCTCTTTTATTTATTGTTAATCCAAATAAAATGGTGAGAAACTACAATCCAAGAGAGCTTACGTCTATCAATCAATGTGTGCAGCTTTGCATTGCATCCTTAGAAAAAGTAAGTTTCTCTTTGCAGATGTTTACAAATACTTCCGAATTCCCACAAAATCAAAAATTATCTCCAATGGAAAATGAATCCTTGATCTAATTTGACTTCTATAAATGCTCTAGCATAACATGCCCAGAATTGTTATTGATGAGAAACTTTGCCATAATTATTACATGCAATGCTTCTACATGCAACAGTGGTCAGAGATGCACAGCTGTTAAGGTTGTCTTGGTAATGGAATCGGTAGCTGATGAACTCGTCAAGAAAGTTAATGAGAAAATAGCAAAACTGACTGTTGGTCCTCCTGAGGATGATTGTGATATCACTCCAGTTGTCACGGAATCGTCTGCTAACTTTATTGAAGGGCTTGTGACAGATGCAAAGCAGAAAGGAGCGATGTTTTGTCAGGTATACAAGAGAGAGGGCAACCTCATATGGCCGTTATTGTTAGACAACGTTCGACCTGATATGAGGATAGCATGGGAGGAACCGTTTGGCCCGGTTTTACCTGTTATCAGAATAAGCTCTGTTGAAGAAGGAATCCACCATTGTAATGCTAGCAATTTTGGCCTCCAGGTATAACTTCCACTAACTGTTTATCCTCATATTATCTTGGTGGAAATTCAAATAGTTATTTGTTTAAACTCGTACTCTATACCCAATGATACAAATCTCTCTAGCTCTTTCTACACACACACAACAGCAATTAGTCTTGTGATTCTATATACCGACACTCCAAGATGAGTGCCATGTTTGTGTGCGACACTACTGGGACACCGACACGATGGGGACACACACGTGTTTGACACATCATGTGGTGTGTCAATTTTTCTAATTTTTTGTGTAGGACACATTAGGGACACGCATGTCCTATGTTGTTTGGACATGCCCAAGACACCTTTGTATGTTCCTTTTTTTCTTTTTCTTTTTTTAATTCTAAAAAAGTTGATTTGGAATCAAAGTAAAATATATTAAGACAAATAGTGAAAAAGTAAAAGTAAATAAAAATACATCTACATATACACCAATGCCTCTCATCTATGTATCCATATTCATATATATTGTAAATAAAAATATATATAATATATTTTTTTGCATATCCTTACCGTGTCCGTATCCTAATCTTTTCCATGTTTGTACCTGTGTCCTGTGTCTGTACTTGTGTCCTTGTCCATTTTTCTTAGTGAATATCCCAAATCCCAAAGGAAGTTCAAAGTTTTTGGTTTCTAGTAATTAATGAAGAATTTGTTGAAGGGTGAACAACACCCATCCAAACAAAAAACAAAGAAAAATGGTTGTATATTTTGGAAGTCTATGTTTTTAATTTTTGTGCCATTTGAAACTTGTAACATTTTGTAAATTCAAACTTTTAAAAATTGTGGATAACTAATTGCTTGTTGTCCTTGAATTTGACCAAAACCAAAACTTTAAACATTAATACTAGTCGATGGACTTGCACAGGGCTGTGTCTTCACAAGAGACATCAACAAAGCGATTTTGATTAGTGATGCAATGGAGGCAGGAACGGTTCAGATTAACTCCGCACCTGCTCGTGGACCAGATCATTTTCCTTTCCAGGTTCATTCTCTCCCTCTCTCTCTCTTCATAATGTAGATATAGCAGAAACATTCTTTACTTTTGTAGTTAGAAAGTCTTTTATTGTCATAAACAATTGAGTTGCAAATGCTTCATGCATGACTAAATAATTCCATATCGAAAATCAAATTATGGTTTTTTTTATTATTATAATTCCATTGCGACTTTATGGGCATAGATTGTTATTTACTACAATAGAACATTGCTTGACACAGGGTCTGAAGGACAGTGGAATTGGTTCTCAAGGAATAACAAACAGTATTTCGATGATGACAAAAATCAAGAGCACTGTAATCAACTTGCCCTCTCCTTCTTACACCATGGGTTGATGATGCCCAACTATGTGATAATAAAATCACTAGTATGCATGGGACTCAGAACCTTGTTACTAAGTATAGTTCTTTGGACTCAAGGGATTATACTCAATGGTATATATATATAGTCATCTTCTACTAGCTAAAAAGTTAAGATGCCAAGCCTTAAATGCTTTGTGTTGTAATATTTTTCTCTTCCTTTTTTCTTTTTCTTTTTTCCTTTTTCTTTTTGCTTTGGCTTGGAAAGACAAAGAGTGGTTCAAACGTTGCTATTTGTAGAATAAAATATGTTATTGAGTTAAATGCGTACATACATGTCAAAAAAACAAAGGTGAAATTGTATTTCAATGGAGCAATGGAGAAATAATTTCATTTTTATGGTGGTGCAAATCTCTTGTGTGTATGGTACAAGTCTATTCATGTATTTGGTGCAAGTCTTTCCTGCGTGTTAGAATTGTACTAGAAAAGATTATTGTCTATAGTGCAATTACCACTGCTAGAAAATCGATTTTTAGCGGCGTTTCAAAAACGCCACTATAAGTATTAAAAACGTTGTTAATTCTTTTTGCGACATTTAATATCAAACGCCGACGACGCGGCTGTCACTATAGCTTTATGGCGTTTGAAAAACGTCGTTATATTAGTATAGGCAGCGTTTTAAAAAACGCCGCCAAATATCCTACCCTACTATACTATGACGTTACTATAACATTTAGCGACGTTTTGAAAACGCTGTAATAGACATTTATACATTTTAAAAATCTAGCCTTTGGGTAGGGATGCAGTGATGTTTAAAAAGCGCCGACATAGCCTCCTTTGTTTTTTTTTTTTAAGTTGTGCTAATTTATATGGTTGAACTACAAAAAAAAAAAAAATCTGTCATAAACAATTATTAAGAACTAATAATTGATGTTTATTACAATAATAAATAAACTAAGCTTGAAAACAAAATTAAAAATAAAAAACAATGCAATAAGATGTGATATATGTACAATTACAGAATATATCTAGACAAAATATATTGGAAATCCGTGAGGATTTATTTACAAAGTCCGCAGGCTTGAAAACTCATGCAGAAAGCAGAGAAGACGTCCATATTCCTAATGACACAATACCGATAGTAGGAAAAGCTTGGCCCAGTTCATAAACAAAATTTTCTTTTTGACTAGGCAAACTTTGCCAATCTGTCCTCCTGCAAAAAGTCACAGCCAGGACTAAATTAGAAAGGTTAATATCAGTACAATAGATTAACACATTAGATTAGAATGGAAAACATTAGATTAAATTAACTTAATGCATACAAGTACATACCCCAAATCAGCAATGACGATGCTGACATTATCTTGTGAACGTCGGTCCCGTAATATACATAAATTTGCAGGTAATTAGAACAGCCAAATAATACAAGTATGATCAAGCATTGTGAAAGAAAAATAAACATCTGGGCATCCATTACCAGAGCTGCTCTTCCAAGCGCCTCACAAGCTAACAAAAATCAAAACGAAAGAAGTTAAAACTTTGTAAACCATAACACTGGTACACCAGAATTGAGGCAAATATTTTACCTGAACATCTCCGTGTTGCCGAAACCGATTCCTAACAAAATTAACTGTTTCTGAGCTAAAACAATAGCAAAGTTAACGAGATAATACTCATCTTGTGGTTAATTGAGAAAAATATTAAATAAATAACTATCGTGCTAATTTAAGATAATTTACAGAATGTAAGTACAAGGTTCAAACAGGAAACCACAAACCTGTTCATGTAATCCCATAAGCCATCAGATGTTAATAGTATAAATTTTGCATCTGAGCTAAGAGGAACTTGAAAAATATCAGGAGTTACAGTAACCAAGTCTCCACTAAATTTTATTCTAGCACAAAACAAAATGTGTTTGTTGTCAAAGCAATCTAATACACTCAAAATTAGCTAAGCTATAAATAGAACTACAAGTCCTGAACTACCCAAGGCAATTGGTTTGCCTTTTGATTGATCTGATATCATTGTATTAGGACAGTAGGAAGATAACAATAAGAGAGTGCACTACAAATTTATAACCAATGGATTCATGAGGGCATTCTTATGATACAGGAGTGCAAAAAGGATAGATAAACAAAAAATTGAAAATGTTTGAGACAACACACCGAGAAACAAATTTTTGTGACCATCTCCCTTCCTTAACTCCCTTCGCCAGCATTCTTTTCATGTGAAAATAGAGACAGATCATTAGGAATATTTCTGATAAACAGAGACCAATATTTCTAATAATCTTCTGCTCTGTAGCTTGTCTGGTATTATCCTCCCCAACAAAAATAGCAGAAAGAGTAGCAGGATTGGCAGCAGGATTCCTGGCAACCTCAACTAGCTGTCGTAATGACTCTGGCGATCCAGGCATTGCCGCAAGCTACAGGTAAGATCTCAATCAGAACCAGACACAATCTGATTTAGCCACCATATCAAACAAAATGAGTAGTCACAAACCTTAGCCAACGTATCAACGAAATCATGAAGTTTGGAAATGACTTTTGAATCATTGATCAACAATGTTTGAAGAAGGAAAATGGCAAACTCAGTCGCAGCCTCTGCACATTATATGCCAACTAGTTAGTTATGTTACTTCAAGGATTGCTCGTGTAGAGCAATATTACTTATACGTACTATTCATTCCTCCATCAAGCAGCTTAGCCATATGAACATTGTACTCAGCAAGGTTTAGTAGTTCACTGCAAATTAGGCCAACAGTAATATATGTGTTGAACTTTCGATCCTTATCAGAGTAAATCACCTGTAAAAATAATTACAAACAGACTTACTATACTAAAGAACTGAAAAAGGATCAACACCAGATAATCAAAACAAATCTAGACTATTTCATTTCCATGGAGAGCCATTCCCATGTCCAAATGCATTACATAGAGAAATCATAACAAAGCAGCCACTGATGGTAATATCACTTAATTTCAATAATTCATTCACTAGATGAATTACCAATGCAACAACACAGAGATACATACAAACATCAGAGGGACATAGTTTCCCTTTGACACATTAATGAGAATCTTAATTTTCTTTTTATATATTTTTTAAAATTTCTTAAGAGAATAAACAATAAACACAATGGTTAGATTCCAAGATATTCAAGGTAACAACAAGTGTAATTGAATTATTCAGTTAATCGATTACTCAATTTCGTCTCACTTTCATCCCCCCATTCTGCTTCCAAATATTATTACTTGTTCTCTGTGTTCATTACTTGGTTCTCATTTAAATACAAGCATTTAAGTCCTCTTCAATGAGGCAAAAAGAACCCTTCACAAGTCAACTATTTGGCTAAATTAATATCTGTAAGGACCATTTGATCCTTGCTAATATGCGCAAATTTAAATTTTAACGTTCAAACTGCCAAAAAAACCAACAAATGGTCTTGTGGGTTTTGTTGTTTAATTTATTTTAGCAATGGTAAAAGTTGGTGTGCCCTTGCACTTAATTCATTACAACAGGACTTACAACAAGTATAGGCATTTGGCCAGAGAGTAACTTAAAAAGTCATATGACAATGTTTCTAACACAAATGCAATTTCCTTTCTCTAAACTAGTTTGGGGTTTTAACTAACACATTTTCATCAAATTTCTGTTGGAAAATAATGATTTTTTAGTGACGTTAATGCAAAATTTAAAGTGAGTCCAAAGCATCAGTTGAGGTGGATCTGAGTAGGTCTAGATTCTTCATAGCAAGATCTTTATACCACAAGAAGAATGACCAAAAATCATTCAGATTTGAATAAGAAATTGTCTCATAAAATTGGCCTCAGGAATGAGATGTTAGGGAAAGTGTACAACTAGCTATCCCACATTGATTATGGATGATAGCATTAATGGGTATTTAAATCCCTTGTTTTTCCAACTAGTGTGAGCCATTTGGGACATCCAAATTTTTCGAAAGAATGGAGGTATGAATGCTTCAAGAATTGCCAAAGGAGTTATTGATGCTTCAACAATGGACTAGAGCCAAGTTGGTTATCCAAAAAGGGCCACATGCGCACGCTGCCCAGGCCAGGTCGGGACTGTAGATCTTGGATAAGATTTGGGTTTGGGTCGAGTTAGTGGCCTACTAGCCTTATTCTTTTTCTGATTTAGGTCAGTGGTGGCTATTGCAGATATACACACGTGTATAAACCTCTAGAGTTATTGTTAAAACATATTTAGAATATATTACTTTCCATATTTGTTAGGTTTTCATATTTCTATAGGTTTCCTTATTCTCATGGTTTCTTGATTATTAATACTCCATATAAGTCTTATATATTGGCCACCTCTTGTAATAGCTCAACACAATATTATTAAACATTATTCAATATATAGAGACTCTTTCTTATCTTTTCTCTTTGTACAATTATCTTAACTCTTTATACAATTATCTTAACATGGTATCAGAGCTATAAGATTCGGCTTATCTTTTTAGTTCACAAATAGGTGGCCTATTGGTAACCATGCCTCCTCAACCGACTAGAGTTCAACACATACCTGTGTTAGTCCTAACCTCCAGCAAACAATCAACCACCATGTCCACCGTGGGCATCAAAACTCAACATTCTACTCCTTCAATCTAGATCTGAATTTGGATAAACCACCACGTCCTCTTCCAACGTCCAATCTTGGCACCAGCTGTTGGAACAATCTTCTGTGTAAATAAAATAAATAGAAACAAAACCAAACAAAATAAATAAATAATGTATCAAATTTATTTATCGAAACCGAATTAAAAATAAAAGACCAAGTCGAGTGCGTGACACTCTGTCCTTAAGACAGATTCGCTCCACTTCAGTGCTAATGGTTGAGTGGCATCTATCTCCCAAGATACAATGATCTTCACAAATTTGTAGAAGCACTTCAAACAAATTTGTACGGCGAACCAAACCTGTGTTCTAACTCTCTGAATTTTATTCTAAAACTAAAATGAAGAATAATGCAAAACTAATAAAATCTGGACAGCAAAAGAACTATTTTTGAGACTGTTTTTTCGGATCTATAACACTGCTGGAATGATGGTATTTATAGGCATAACAAGTCCTGTCCGAACAGGTGTGAATCTGTCCAACAGATTCAGATTTGAATTTGAACAAGTACTGTTTGAAAACTGGATCTGACCGTTGCTTTGAACAATTTTTCAAACAATTTGAAAAAGGATCTGTTGGTTGGTGGAACAGTTTCTAAACTATTGGAATACTATTATTAAACTATTTGAATAGTTTAATCAATTTTAGGAAACGACTTTAGGAAACCAAAAATAAATTTATATTTAAATTAAATTTCCACAATAATTTTTTATTGAAAAAATTCAAATGAACTTTGTCTAAAAAATTAATGTTAAACTCG